ATGAATTTTAAAGTGAATCTGGTGTGCAGGGAACAGAGATGTGACTGCCTAACCTGCCAAGGAAAGGGGATTTGCACACTTGCTACCAGCAACCCCATCCACGGACGGCCGCAGTGCCGCTCTGCTCCCAGGAGAAAGGTGCGGGCAAAGGACAGGTGGCTCCAGCGGCCAGCTCAGCCACCTGTCCTGTCTGGGAGCAGGGACCGTCCTTCCGAGGGCAGGGGTTATTTGGAGAAGTCCTCGATGAGCTGAACAGCCTTCATCCCTCCCCTGAAAGCGCCCGGCGTTCCTCAAATCCAGTGATGGGAACCAGACCTAATTGCGCAGTAATGGAGTAACGCTTCAGCTTCAAAAGAAGCCTTTTGTGCACAGGAGATCTCTGATGGCTGGAAACCACAGGATGGCCGCTGCTCCCCTGGGGATGCAGCCGGCAGCAGGCTGCCCCACAGATGGATGGCAGGGGTGGGTGGCTCCGGCCGCTGCCCCGTGTCTGCAGCGGTGTGAGTGCTGGAGGGCTTCCCGCAGTCCCTGCAAACAGGACATTTTACACCACAGTGGGAGCGGATCCTACTTTCAGGTGTTGCTGTCCTTGTGAGAGGCGCGAAGCTTTCCCATTGCAGCTTTTGCAATTGAGGTACAGGTGGTTTTAAGGTAGCTTCATCTCATTTCTCTGCCACCGCCTTTCCCTGTTCTGGAAAGGGTTTTTTAATAATTGAATGCACAATGCATCAAAAAAGGACAAGAACAGCTTGGGCACAGAAATAGCCTTTTCCTCAGAGAAACAGCAAGTCTGAGTCTCTCTCAGCTTTCCGTGAAGGGTAAACACAAGGGAAGCAGCTCAGCTTCTAAACATCTGCATTTCAAAAACATCTGCTTTTCAAAAACCTTTCTAAACATCTGCATTTTGCAAGTTCAGAGCAAGTTCCCAAGGCAAATGTAATCAAGGCTGGTTTCTCCTCTGAAGGGTGCAGATCCCACGGGCCTTTTGGGGTGCCCAGCCCCTGCAAAGCTGCCGGCAGCTCCCCTGCTCCCCAGGGCACCTTGCGAGGGCTGCCCTTTCCCTCCGCCCCAGGAAAACCCTTGCTGGCTGGATGAGGAGGGCTGACACACAGGCCTGACTCTGTCTCTCCGGAGGTGAGGGGAAGCGCCTGCGTCAGGCCCGTGAGTCACCCCGACGTCTCCCTACGGGCAGCCTCGCCGCCCCCGCCCCGCAGCATCCCTCTCTCTCCCAGGAGGGCTGCAGCAGCCAGCGCCCCCGGAAAACCCGAGCCCACAGACTCGCGGCGGATGTAAGTTTTTGTTCTGTGCATTGGCCTTGCTTACAGATTGCAGGGGAAGAGGACGACCACATGCCCTTGCAAAGAAAAGCAGGCGACAGTTTGAGATGTGGCTTGGCAGCATCCCTGTGAAGACCAAGAAGGGGAGAGCAACTGAGCCCAGGACCCTTGCACGGCTCGCATTGACTTTAACGTCTTCGGATCACGCTGCGGGGTTTTGGGAGCCACCAGAGACGAAGATGTTTCCTCAGGGAGACAGGCAACCAGCTTCTTCAGGAGAATAAGAGCATTTGCAGTAACCAGGCGGTGCTGCTTTCCTAGATGATCTGAGGCAGCTTCAAGTCAGTCATTACGACAGTGACTGGCAGAGGCTTTAACAGCTGCGATGCCTTCCAGGAGCCATCCCTGGTTTGGCACCAGCCCGTGTTGGCATTAACAGGGTGACTGCTGTCTTTGAGATCTTGGATTAAAGCTTGAGCAAAGAAATTCAAATTGTTGATTTAAAAGAAGAGATGAGGTTATTTCACATCTTTAGTGTTGGCTCTTTTGAGGAGCTAATTCCAATTGTCTAATCAATGAAGCTCTTAACACTAATGCAAAGTTAGCAGCAAGATAGAGACACATATGTAATTATTTTGGCTTAACAAGATTTATTTTTATTTCATTTGTTACGACATAATCTAGCAAGCAATGTGTTACTAGTTTCTTAGATTTTACACTTAATTTACATCTGCCTTCAGCTTGGCACAAAGCGTAGGAAAATAGCATTTTAAAATACTTTCTTCAGTCAATGAAAGAAAACCTTCAAGATGTGCCAAGTAAGCTCATACCATAAGAAGTATTAATGTCCCTCGTCTCCAAATGCTTCTTATAAACAAAAACCACCAGCAGCAACTGAACTGATAATGACCAGAAATGGAGTCTTTCCCAGCTGCAGAAGTGGTACAGCTCACCCCCAAACCTTGCTTTTATTACCCAGAGGGCGGCCCAAGACAAGCTTTTCTGCTTTTAAACCTCAAAAAAAGTTCCCATCTTTGAAGGACTTGGTCACTGAACAGCACAAATAATGACCTGAAGAAAAGGCTCTCTGCACTTACAGGAGAAATTACCGTCAAAAGCTTGTTTAGCATTTTAGCAACCTGCTCCCAGGTGCTCAGCCAGTTACTGACTCCAGCTCAGCGGTTTGACTTTAAAAGCCTTGGAACAAAGAGTTATTTCTCTAAATGCAATCATCTAGTGAAGTCTAAGAAGTTGAGGCCTTAATAAAGTTACAAAGCTACTCTCTGATTTTGAGAGGTAATTACAGGGATAAGAATACATATGTAAGCTTTATACAATCTCATTTTTAACTTATCTTAATGACGATACATTAAATGGCTAGGAAGGAACAGGTCCACGCTGAGCAGGCAAGGCAGTAAAGGAAATGTAAAGCTGTCATAAAAGCTTCAGCAGATCTGCAGTGCCCTGGCTGCCATCCCTGGGGTGCAGGCTGCCAGCTCCCCCAGCACCAGCACGCACATTTCCTAGTCCACATCCCCAACCCAGCAGCCAGTTTCTGAAACAGATTTGCTCCCTGAACTGATCCACCACCTGGTCTTGTGAACACTGGAGCCAGACCAACAGACCAGCTGCAGCCAGAGAAAGAGCTACAGAAGCCCCAGTGCAGACCAGCTTGAAAAGTAAATTGTTTAGTCATCATTAGGTTATAATTGTTAGAGAGAAGGCTTTTTCCCCAAACACTTTAAAACATGCAAACACACATACAACTTTTCTTTCAGTAAGGGCAGATCAGTCTTGCCCTTGCTGCTCCCAACATCATTTTGCAGATTTTTTTTGCAGGGCTATTTTTGAGTTTGGTTTTTTTGTTGTTTGGGATTTTGTTTTGTTTTGTTTTTTTCATTATTTATTTTTTATCTTCTTCCAGGCACTAAGGGTGAATCCCAGTAAAACAGCTTCTTCCATGGTTCCTGTACCTGTACAGTTTTCCAGTTAATTTGGACCACTGCAGTTTCAAGGCCAGAAGGTACTTTCCATCTGCATGTATCAAATCCTAGCAAAAAATGTATCTCACAACAATTGATGGAAGGTAGGGAAACTATTTCAGTTCACCAACAACCAACCTCAAACTAAAGAAGTTGAAGTTGTTATTATGACAAAGGCTCAGTAAATAAACATCAACTCTTCTGCAACTGGTGCCCAATGGAGAGCGCGTGTTTAAGAACTCAGACATGAGCAATCCTTCTTATGAGCTCCTCATGTAAACTTATGGATCAATAACTTCATTTACTAAGTACTTTGGGTCACAGTTTAGAAACTCATCACACAAAAGCATCTGGCAAACATAGAGCAAAATACCATGGCTTAAAGTCTTCAGCACTGGGAAACGAGTAACCAGTTCAAGTCTTTGTATAAAGGATTTCTGGGGCAGAGACATTTATAAAAATAATAATAATAATAAAAAAAATCTCATGACTCTGCATTTCACCACCTCCACACAGATTGAAACTAGAGCAAACTAGAGCAGAGCGAGGTGATGCTGCTGCTCCGGCAGACATGCTGCCTCCAGTAGGGACATCCCCACTCCTCACCTGCTCCAGCAGATTTTCAGTGGTGGCCCTGGTGCTACTTGTATGGCAGCAACCAAGTCCACCTGCTAACCGGTCAGAAAGCTCGCCCAGCCAAACTCAAGTTTGTGCTGAGGAGGCTGCACGATGCAGCTCAGCACGGGGCCAGGCACATGCAGAGGCAGCGCAAGGGACGGGATGGGAACATGTAGAAGCAGAAGGAAAGAAGCAGGAAAGGGCTGGGCTGTATTATCGACTGCAAACTGTTGCTGTGCACTCAGCATCCTGGAATATTTTGGAAAACAATATGAAACCCAGGAGCATATGCTGTGAAAGTGAATTGCTGGATTTAAACTAGTGTAGTTGCTGATGGTTTACGTACTTTAAAACGGGGAACCTGCTCATCATCTGCTTAGCTACTTGCTAGTGCAGCATGAACAGCTTTCCCTGCAAAGATACATATTGAAATGTCTCATTACCGATTCTCACCTTTAGAACATGCTCCTGTATCACCTCACTGTATGGAGGCACTGTAGCAGTTAACATATGGTGCGAGAAAAAAGCAACTTTAAGAGAAACACCTTGGGAAATTAGACCACAGTCAGCATCTAACAAACGATGGAGAGGGACTTACTTAGGTCATTGTCCATCTTGAATGCGATGTCCAGCTGCATGATGAAAAGCATGAACTGGAACCAAGGGCTCATCTCCTTGTTGGGGAGGGGAACGTGCACGGCAAACACGATATCATTGGCTTCTATCTGCCTGCTCATCGCCTCGTCGAAGTCTTTGATCTTCTCGCAGTGGTTGGGTCCCCAGGGCGTTAGCCACTTGGTTTTGTGGTGGTTTTTTCTTATATCAATGCATTTCACTGACACGTAAGGAACAGCTGTAGTGGGGCTGGGAGCTGCAAATGGAAGAGAAGCACATTTTTAGCATCTTTAGATATCTTACATAGTGGTTTCCCCATCAAAATATGCAGCTCCCCATTCAACTATTTGAAGGCAATTTAAAACAAATGCATCAAATGATTCTCCTTCACAGCTCCTTGATCTTGCAGTTAAGTAATTAAGTTTATTACGTCTACAGACATATGACTGACTTTGCAGTGGGATCAAATCAGGATTAGCTGAAGCAGTGGGAATCTGCCGGATCAGTCTCAGATACCTCAGTTACACCAAAATCACACGGAAAGTTACTGGCATCTTTTTCTGTGCATACGCTTTTCTAGTTTGCTCACTCGAACAAATCCACTTGCAAAACATGTGGATATCACAAACCTAGATGAACTAATCCTAGACCTTGTGGTCCTGCAGAGCAGAGCAGAGCAGAGCAGGGCTTACCGCAGTGGTTCAAACCACGCACAGCCACACGTTTTCTTGGGCAGAAAGGCTTTTAAAATGCTCCCAGCACTGATAAACTGGATATTGCTGCATTAATTTTTCTGTACTTACTTTCACACCCACCGGTGACCTGATCTGCAGTATGCCAAGTGAAGAAGGTGGTACAGCCCTCCCTGGGCCATAACTGTCTCATCTTCCACAGGGATGATGAGCCTCGCGGCAGCATGGCACTAGTGCCACTTCCACTTCACACTCCCACTTTATGTGGGGGTATATCCTCATCCCAACATAGCTCAAATTAGTAAGGTAAGCAAAGCATCTTCAGAAAACCGAGCTAAATGCAAACAAGTTTCTATCCTGTGAGGTTATCACCCACAAGCACCATCGCCAATGGACCATTCTCATGGATTTTTGCCATCGCTGCTGGAGGCAGCAGTGCTTTTGCTGCTTCTCTAATCACACTGCTAGCGGAGCCGGTCCTGCCTCCATCACACAGCTGCCAAGGGAGCGTGCCCAAACAAGGGATGCAAGTTAGCCTGAATCCTTGTAAAGGGATAGACCAGCACCACTCAGCATCTAACCCAGCCCAGGGCCATCACCCACACCTGCTGTCCACAAACTTGCTGTGGGAGCCATCTCAGCCTCACCAAAACTCCCTACATGGAAAACAGCAGGCAAGCTGGCCACCTCCATTATGCTCCAAAGATCCGTGCTCACCCACTGCTGCTAAATGTAGAGAAACATTTTGCATGAAGGTATTTCTTCCTTTTGCTATAAATCAGGTGTGAACTAATGATTATTACAACCAAAGATTTGTCTCTCTTTTTCCCCTAGCCACAGGGGTTTTTAAGATATTGGGAGAAAAGAAGCTTAATAGAGATCTTGGCTCTGAAGTGCTCCCCATACTCTGCACTGCCCCCATCACCACAGCAGGCGGCGAGGCTTTGGGCACGTGTACAGGATACTAATTTTTATTGTATCAGGATAATGTATAACATCCCAGATGAGATAATTAAAGCTATGGAGGATTTATACAGCTCAGGCTTTACATTGTGGAGGAAACAGTCAGAAATTCTGAAGTACAAATAGGGATGAAAGCAGAAAAGAAATACATTCTACATTCAGCCAGAATTTCAGCATAAAACACCTTCAATTCTGAGAGAAAGAAAAGGCTTTTAAAAACTCAAATACATTTCTAACATAGTTCTTCCATGCAAAGACTTCCTATGACAGCTCTTCTGCCCTCTTTCCAATATCATTTGGGAAATAAATATTTTAATGCTATTTTAATGCATCACAGAACTGGCAAACTAGGGAGGCGAGCAGAGCTGGAGATGCTCCAGTTCCTCATCTCCCCAGTATGATCAGAAGGGCTTCCATGGGTCAGAAAGTCCAGCGACCAGAAGGTCAGTAATTCCCCTGTCCCTTATGGATCTATTCCTTTTTTGTCATAGAAAGAAGTATTTTTTTGTACAACACCCAGCTCAACACATGTTAACACCCAATACATTTCACTGCAATTAAACCAGAACTGTCCTATTTTCTGAAATATTACCAGCAAGGTACTATTGGACAGGCTGTAATGAATTCCTTCCAGCTTTGCAGGTTTTGGGAAGCAGATGGAGTAGGTTAACTCTTTCTTTCTAAGCTGTTAAAGAGTTTTACTTAATTTCTGTTTTCACTATAATTTGAAGAAATTAAAGTTATGTCATACAAGTTTCTTGTGAAATGACATTTATGAAAAACCCCAAACTATCCAGCCCTTTTAAAAATGAAAATAGGACTTGAAATTCAAAAATTTAAGCACAAATCTAACCTAACAATGTAAAAATGCTCTAATGCAAGTGATAGGCATTGAAACTTTCCTATACTATGAGTTAAAACAGAAGTAGCATATAGAATAACAGATATCCAGGCATATAGAACAACAGATGACTTAATGTCGAAGTCTCCAGAGAAAAGGTGCTGGGGCAGTCACGTAAAATTGGGGGTAAGCTGGCCAGCCCGCGGGCTCCTGTAGAAGGCTGTTTTCACATTGTCACCATCCTCATTCTGACAGATGGTCCAGGACTTCCCAAACAGATCAGAGCCCGCTAAAAACCTCCAGCAGCAAGCAATAACACTCTACCTACAAACTGCAAGTATTTCAGTGAGAAAAACAAACCCAAACTGAGCAACACCCACCCAGCCACCCCCAGCCCCGTGCGGGGCAGAGCCAGCTCAGGGTTCCCGAGCGGCGCAAGGTTTGGGCAGGCTCAGCACGCTGACATCCGCACGCGCTACACCCAGATGATTCAGACCTGGCTCCCTTGTCATTTGGGCACAGCATCACAACAGCAGCTCTGTTGCTTTTTGGGATCCAAGCCAGGAACCCTGCGTAGCATCTTCACTAACATGCCACCTCGTTAGAAAGATGACATCTGCACTCCTTCCTACAGACAGGGGAGACATGACTCAACGTGCAAGTCGGGAGGAAGTTATTAAAAAGCAGTTGTTTATAAACTACATTTTTTCAAATTTTTTTTACAGCAATAAGTTTCTTCCAGCTGAAAAGTAGCAGTGATGCTGGCATAAAGGGTAGGCTAAAAGGAAAGGGATTTGCTTAAGCAGGAATACTTCCAGATTCACACCTGCTCTCACTATCAATCCACAGCCTAAGTGCATCAGAGATATGTAGCACTGCTGCATCTCAAACCCTCGCTACATCCAGCAGTCCTCTGGGAACCATAGCTCATACATTACAGCAGCCCCCCAAAAGAACAAATCATTGATATGCCAGAAAGGAACAGCAAAATAGAATAAAATAAAGCATTCAACAAACAAACAAGAAATCTAACTGCAAGTCCAGGATTACAGAATGCTTTAACGATGTGCCATACGTGCATAAACTGGTGCAAGGTTCCTTTATCATGCCTCGATGCAGAACCTAGTAACCGTGGCTAAAATTACAGCTGTAAGTGAATATTAGGGATATTGTTGTGAAATAAGCCGGACGTTCAGGCCAAGCTCTCAGAGCTGTTTCACTTTGACAGATCTGTGTGTGATTTAAAGGTAGGCATTTCTGAATTAAGAGACATTGTTACTTCTACAGAGAAGATGAATGTTTCTTGCTTTGATGCAACTCATTATAGCCATAAATACATGTTTTCATCACTGACTGATTATGATTTTAAATCCTTGGCGTGCTAACTCAAGTATCCCCTCTGCCAAAGTTACAGCTTTGAGGAGCAAGAGACAATTACTATATATATTCCTTGTTGGGAACTGCACACCAAACAAACGTCGGCACTTGGCTTGCATTACTTGTTTGGCTCCAGTCCCATTAAATTCAAGTGAGTGTTGAACCAAGTGGAAAAAAATGCTTTGTGAAACTGCAGCCAAGTCAACTAACAGTATTACAAAGTGCTATGCAAAACAAAGCTAGCACCGAGGGATTTCAGTTAAAACGTGGTGCCAAGCAGGCTGCTTTCAGTCATTCTGCCTGTGGGCTGGTAGATGGTTCAGCTTTATATATTAAATGATATATGTCAGCCTGTAAATAATTAAATAGCCGTTTGTGCATATTACAGTGGATAAGCCTCAGCCCATGTTCAGTCTGCTCGCTGTAAAGGGAAGCACTGCAGTAATGCAGGTACCATTTGGAGGGGTTAGCAGGGTAACCAAGGAGCAGGGCTTTTATCAGCAGGGTTCTGCAGAGCTGGTCTGGAACACGGCTCTCCAGGAGCCAACCCTGCGAGCTTGGGTTGGGGCTGCCTGGGGAGCCCCCATGCAGGAGCCCTGGCTCCAGGGGCTGTGCGCAGGCACTGGGCAGAGACCCCTCACTCCAAGGGGTTCAACCTCAGCAGTGCTGGATGCCAAAAGCCATAGGCACAAGGCCAGCGGAGCTGCTAGCACTGTCAGTGGATACTTCCAACCCCCCTACTTAAGAGAAAAAACTTCCCACAGACAAGTTTAGAGACAGGATGATTCACAGCAAACGCTTTCAGAGCAACAGCCATGATCTCCAAGGAGCTGGCGTGCCTGTGCCCGTGGGAAGCGGGCAGGAGGTGACTGTCACCACCAGAGCCCTCCTTAACTCTGATGGGACAAACCTTCATTAAATCTTCCTTAAAAACCCAGGCAAGCACAGACATGAAAATAAACCCAACAGAGTCTGAGCAACCTCACCTTTGCAGTTCACTGGTTTTCATACTAGTTTGGGGAGTGAATACAGTTTACCCTCTTTGAAGCTTCTTTGCATATATGCTATAAACACACTTACCTTAAAGGTATGTGGTGACCGGCTGACACAGCCACCCCACATGCTGCTGGGGAACGGGGAAGCCGCCCACTCCATCTCCTCCAGAAGAGGCTTTGGAGGTGCCTAGCTCACTGCAAAAGCCCCAAGGTTATCCCAAATTACATGGGTTCACTGCAGACCCTGCCATTCTCTGCCATGGAAGCACAGCTCCTTGCAGCAGCTTTAGCCAGCGAGCCCCCGGGAGAGCCAGGTGCCTTCAGCAGCATGGTCACTGCTTCCCAGAGAGGACTTCTGATGAACTTTCAAAGCCATTTCAGCTGTCTT